GAGACAATAAGAAGTCTTAAAACAAAATCAGAGGGCTGAAAAAAATAGAAGAAAATGTAAGGTAGCTCATAGAAAAAACAAGTAATTTAGAAAACAGATAGAGGAGGAAAGAAAAATTAAGAATTATTAAACTTCTTGAAAGCTAGAACCAGTAAAAGAGTCTAGACATCATATTTAAAGAAAACTTAAAAGAGAACTACCCAAATCTCTTAAAATCCGAGGGTTAAAGTAGAAATGGAATCTACCAGTCACCTCCTGAAAGAAATCCCCAAATGAGAATTCCTAAGAACATTATAGCCAAAATTCAGAACTACTAGGTCAAAGAAGAAAAAAAAAAAACACAGTGCAAGCAATCAGAAAGAATTCAAGTACCAAAGAGCCACAGTCAGGATCAAACATAGTTTAGCAGCCACACCAGGAATAACTTATGCAGAAAAATTCTATTCAACTCCATTTGATTCGATTCAATAAACATTTAAGTGCTTATTATGTACCAGGCCCCAGTCCTACAGTTCATTGGCATGGGACTCTCTTCTTATTGGTACAGATGAAAGCCTGACCTGTATGAGAGGTGAAATGGAGTTGAGAGGCAAGAGAGCTCCAGCCTTCACCAGTCTCTTTTGGAACGCTCCAAGTGAGTCCTCTTTGAGTGCCCCTTCAGGATTCCTCAGGGCCAGTCCCCTTTGGGACTATTGGAGCACGAGTGGTTTCGGGTACATCTCACTTCCAGCTTTGAGAAAGAAGACAGAAGATGCAAACTCCACTTCAGGTTAGACAGGAGAAGAACTGGCAGTCTCTATCATGTCCCTATTCCCAGCTTGCTACACTAGATATTTTAGGGAGTTTCCTTTTGGGTGACATTTAGGACCCCCTCCCTTGGTTAAGCTGAGTTGCTCCATTCTCAGTGGGGGAGAACTCCTTCACTCTGTATTATCTGGTATATATTCTCCTATGTGTACCTTCTCTGATTTCTGTTTCACTATGATTTGGATAAATGGGTTTCTCTGCTGCTCTCTAGGTGTGTTCTTTGTGGCTCTGGTATTTGGTGGGAAAGAGGTCAAGCCTTGGATATAGAGCTTGGGGTCCCCTCTCCCTCCAGAAATGACAAAGCAATCAGAAGTTAGATAGACTCCAACTATATCCCCTAGACTAATAATATTTAAGTGAGCAGATACATATACTTCTGCCCAATACCCCCTCTCTCTGAGGAAAGTAGAGTAGCCTTTGGCCCCAACCTCCTGCTTCTACTCCTGCCAGGAATAAAAGTCTCCTTTGGAGAAAGATCTAGGGAGAAGAGGTTGGAGAATTCTATTCTGTTTCCCTTCAAATCACACAACTACTGCCCTCAGCAAACATGAGCCCCTCTCTATATGTAAGGCTCCATTTTGCTACAAATCTAATGGGGAAAGACAAAACACAAAAGGAAGCTAGAATGTCAGGGATGGGGTGGACAGGACACCAAGGGGTAACCTCTCAGGCATCTTGTTCCATGGAGTTCAAACCAAGCAGAGCTGCAGATGAGTATAATGCTATAGTGGAAGAAATGAATCTTTAATGAAATAGAGGACTTCCAATTATTCCTAATGAAAACACCGAACTGTGGAGAAACTTTGAAGTACAAATACGAAGATGCAGAAAAACATTAAAAGGTAAACATTAATGAACAATGATAAAGGACTAACCAAGGATAAATTGTATATATTCAAATATAGGGAAATAATACATGTATACCCACTAATTCTATCATCTTCACAGAGGCAGTGCAATTAGACAAGGCTAGGAAGTGGTTCTGTTACATCTTGATGATGCTAAGAAAAGAAAAAATGGAAAGAGAGACTTGGGGTGGGGCTGGGAAGGGGAAGAGGGACATGTGCATTGGGCAGGGGAGAAGGGAAAGGAAGGTTAGGGAAAATTATCTCACATAATGACATCTAAAGAAACAAAGAGGAGAGGGGGGAAGGGAGTGGCTGACACTTGCTCTTCACTGTCACCTAAACTGGACAAAAAAAAAAAGGAAGAATACACACACACACACACACAGAGTTGGTATAGAAATACATTGCACCCAGCAGTGATATAGGAAGGAAGAAAAGAGGGAAGGCAAATTAAAGGGAAAGTAGATTAAGAGAAAGACTAGTCTTAAGCAAAACAACGTCTAAGGATGTACAAAAATATGGCACTTTTTGAGGTGGTAAAGAATGGGAATTTGAGAGAGTGCCTATAAATTGGGGAATGTTTGAATAAGTTTTGGTATAAACGTGACAGAACACTATTGTGTTCTTATCAACAAGGATTCCAGAGGACTAATGATAAAACATGCTACCCACCTCCTGATAGAGAGGGGAAGGACTCAGAATGCAGAATGAGACAAATATTTTTAAGACATGGCCAATGTAGAAATTTTGTTTTGATTGACTATACATATATATAATGGGTTTTGTTTTTCTTGTGTTCTCAGCTGGGGGAGGGTGGGAGGTTGGCTGAGGTTGGGGTAAGAAGGTGGATCTGGGCTTATTAACACAAATATGTAAAAGAAAACTTGGAAACTCTGATCCATGAAATAGCCAACCAAAACTCCTGAGGACTCATGACAAAAAGCTTTGCCCATCAGAGCAACATCAGACAGAGGTGATGGACTCAGAGCATAGACTGAGATTTTTTTTTTTACATAGCCAATAAGAAATGATAATATGTACTTATAACAAGAGTTTTGTTTTTCTTGCTTTCTCAGTGGGGATGTGGGGAAGGAAGTGGGGTGGAGAGAAGGCTGATCTTTGTTTGAAAATAAAATAAAATTTAATTAAAAAAAGAATATGAGTAGCAGCATGGTATAATCGAAAAAAACAGCAGACTAGAAGTCAGGAATGCTGAGCTGTAGACTAATTTGCACTAACTGCCTGAGCGACACCCCACCTACCCCCAAACTTCAGTTTCCTCGTCTATAAAATAAGAGGGTATTACCTACAGTAGTATCAAATTCAAATTGCATTTAGACCACTAATCCATACATAAGGAACTACAACAGAGAATGCTGCCTTAAAATATAATGTACCTCTGTTCTATTGTATTTTATTTTTTCGTTAAATATTTGCTGATTATATTTTAATTTGGTTCTGGCAGCCCTCTGCCAGGAGTGTTGCTGTATGTGAGCTCCATGTTTGACATCTCTGGGCTGGGTGTCCTCCAGCTCTAAAATTCTATGGCTCTGAAACCATAAATTCACAAGTACGTTTGTATTTTTAACATGTTGTTTGCATATTGAACATATTGCCCTCCTCACCTTATGTGGAGAAGATTTAGGCAGAAGAACTGAATCTAAGTAGATAGGGATGCATCATTAGGTTTCTGTGTGGGTTGGTGACATCTGCTGTGTGCCCGCCAGAGTGGGTCTGTCTATCTGTCTGTCTGTGACCGCACCTAAGTGAGTGTGTGTACCCTTCATGTAAAGACATATTCCTATATGTGTGTGCCTGAACCCTCAGTATAGCTTTGCAAGTGGGTGAGAGGAGGAGAAGAATGGAGTGGTACTGTGGGGCCTTGTCTGCATCTGGGTATCTGATATACCCCTGCCTTTCGGTTATTGTGTATGTAGGGTAGGCACTTATCTGGGGTTTTTTAGTTTGATTTGGTTTTGTAGGGGAGGGGGCTGGAGAAAGAAGTCAGGAGGGGAAAGAAGTAGTTCCAAATAGTGTCTCCACGATAATCCACAAGACTTTTCCCCTCCTGATGGCTCTTCTGGACCCCACCCCACTCCCAAAGCTTGTAGCAGCAAATCCTAGAGAAGGCAAGATTCTATGCAGACATGGAACCCCAGGTATGAACTTCCTTAGAAAAGGATATGAAAGGAGTAGTTGAAGGTGTTCAGGGCATCTGCCTTCATTCTCCTACCTAGGCCTAATAATTAGCTCTCCTTTTATTTCTCTTTAGGAGGAACATTAAAATGCACTGAGGAGACCCAAGCATCCATGTTCAGAAGTTTACTAGATAGGCTTTGCAGGGGGCTCAAAGGGCTGAAATTTTTCTCCTCCCACCCCTCCTAGCCTGCATTCTGGAGAGCTGAAAAGCAAAAATTAAAAATAATCCCCACAACCAACCACTCCCAGTTCAGTCCTGTTTCCCTAAAATCTGGTCTCTGCTTCTCTCTTCCTGCCCTATATTGTTTCTCTCCCCATCTTCATGTCAAGCCTTCAGTGTCTGTATTTGTTCCTTTCTTTCTCCTTCTATCCTTTACCAGCTCGATACTTGTCTCCGTCTGTCTCTCTTTCCCTCTCTCAGCTCACATTCCTTACATCTCTCTTTGTATTTCTCCCCACACACACCCTTGCATGTTCCTCCCACCCCCCACCGGTTTCTGTCTCTCTCCTGCTTTCCCATCTTCTTCTCAGTTTCCTCCCCCTCTCCCCTCCTCTCTGCCTCATCCCACACCCCTCTCCCTGGGTTGCTCTCCAGCCCTGGGTATCTCTGTGCCTCTCTTTCCATTCCTTTTACTGCCTCCTCCCACTCATTGGTGGCATTGGTGGGAGTCTGTCTCTTTCTATCTCTGCCTCCTCCTTCTCTCCCTCCCACCACAGTCTCTCCTTCTCTCCTGCATCTCATGCTATCCCCAACCCTCTCCTCTCCTTTTCCTGGCCCTTTAAATCTGCCTGGCCCTGGCCCTGCCTTCCCCGTGATGCTGTGATGGAGCAAACATTGATTTGTGCTGGGATGGGATCGGAATTTTGATTTTTTTTTCCTCCCCCAACCATAAGAAGGGGGAAAAAAACAACTAAAAATAATACCCCCCCTTACGACTGCCCCCTCCCTCTTCCCGCCCAGCTCTGATTCCCTGACTCCATCAGAGGCAATTTTTTTCTCCCCTACACAATTCCCATCTCTTCCCCCGGCCCCCCCACCAGCCTGCTCCTCTGTGGCTGGGGAGAGAGGGGAGCCAGTCCTGCTGCTCTGGGCTAGGATTATTGCCTGGGCTAGGGGAGCTTCTCCGGAAAAGAGGGGGAGGGGGGCTGGCCGGGGTGGGGTGGGGGGGGTCTCCTGCCATGGATGCTGCGCCTGGGGGGCAGTCTGAGCCCCAATCCACATGGTGAGTAGAACTGGCCCCTCTCCTTGCCTGTCTGCCTGTCTCCACCCCCTGCCTTTCCCCTGCAGTGCCTCCCCTAGCCCTGAGTTGGCCCGCCCCACCAAACCCCCTGCCCATCTTGGCCAGCTGACAGCAACCTTCCCCCACCTGCACCACCCCCCTGGGTTGGCTTCAGAGTGAAGCCAAGGAGCTATGGGGTGCTAGCAGCAATTGGGGAGGGGTTGGAGCATTGGCTCTGGGAGCTCCCCAACCTCTCCTCCAAGCTGCTGTCCTTACCCACCCCTTTAAGACTGGAAATGAAGAATTTCTTGCTAAAGATGCAAAATGGGGTGGGAAGGGATGGCATGGGGAAAGGGGTAAAATGGAGATTGGGGTCCCTACCCTAGGATGGAAAATTCTCAGGGAGAAGGATAATATATGGATTGGGATATCCCTTGGTTTTCCCTAAAACCTTGTGGAACTGTTTGGAGAAAATGCATGGAAGAGGGAGACACCAATGCCACCCAGACCAAGAAGGGGGGAAGGATGGAGGAATGTTCACTCAGTCTCTTTCTCCCTTTCTGTTTTCTTTCTCTGCCAGCCACTCAGGATGAGGGCCCACCCCTGTCTGCCCATCCTGGGGCACTCCCAGCTGGCCCAAGTCTGACACCCCTAGCCCCTTGCCCACCAGGCATCCAGGCCCCACACCCTCACCCAGTTCCCTGGCCCTCAAGGATGTACTGAACTGTGGGGAGGCTGAGGCCACGCCAACTACATGCATGTCCCCCGGGGGCAAGTTCGACTTTGATGATGGCGGCTGCTATGTGGGGGGCTGGGAGGCTGGACGAGCACATGGCTATGGCGTGTGCACAGGGCCCGGGGCCCAAGGAGAGTACAGTGGATGCTGGGCTCATGGCTTCGAGTCCCTGGGTGTCTTCACTGGGCCTGGTGGGCACAGCTACCAAGGCCACTGGCAGCAAGGAAAGCGCGACGGACTGGGCGTGGAGCAGAAGAGCCGCTGGACCTATCGTGGAGAGTGGATGGGTGGTCTGAAGGGACCCAGTGGTGTATGGGAAAGTGCCTCGGGACTGCGCTATGCTGGGCTCTGGAAGGATGGTTTCCAGGACGGCTACGGCACTGAGACCTACTCTGACGGAGGTGCCAGGGCGTGAGCGGGGTCACTCAACTCTCTGTTTCTCCTTATATACTTTGCCCATCTCCGTCTCCATCCGCTTTCGCCAAACTCATCATACCTCCATGGCGTATCTATAACTGACCTCACACATCTAAGTGACCATACTGATTGTCTGTCTCTGTATATCTCTTGCTATTCCTCTGTCTCCATAAAGTACGGCCACCACACACACACACACACACACACACACACGCACGCACACACACACACACACGCACACACACTCACGCACACACACCCATCTAGTCTTAGTTCATCCACTAATCACCTGCCCCTCATAAACAACTCTGTCTGTGCCCTAACCATCCCTGTACCATCTTACATTTGCTGTTTCTGTACCAGTGACTTGGGTACTGGGGGGAGGGGCTGGGTACAGGGAAGGGGTGAGAGACAAAGAAGTCTGTTCCCCCTCTCATCTTCACTTTGCTTTCTCCTCAGGCACCTACCAGGGCCAGTGGCAAGCTGGCAAGCGCCATGGCTATGGGGTTCGCCAGAGCGTACCCTTCCAACAAGCAGCACTTCTGCGGTCACCCCGCCGCACCTCACTGGACTCAGGCCACAGTGACCCCCCAACACCACCCATACCCCTTCCCCTACCTGGTGATGAGGGTGGTAGCCCAGCCTCTGGCTCCAGGGGGGGATTTGTGCTGGCAGGCCCAGGTGACCCAGATGGGGCCTCCTCCCGAAAACGAACTCCAGTAGCCGGGGGCTTCTTCCGCCGCTCCCTATTGTTAAGTGGGCTTCGGGCAGGTGGGCGCCGGAGCTCATTGGGCAGCAAGCGGGGATCTTTGAGGAGCGAGGTGAGCAGTGAGGTGGGCAGCACGGGGCCTCCAGGCTCTGAGGCCAGCGAACCTCCAGCCCCTGTCCCTCCGGCACTCATTGAAGGGTCTGCAACCGAAGTGTATGCAGGAGAGTGGAGGGCTGACAGGCGCAGCGGCTACGGAGTAAGCCAGCGTTCCAATGGGCTGCGCTACGAGGGCGAGTGGCTCGGCAACCGGAGGCACGGCTACGGCCGCACCACCCGCCCAGACGGTTCCCGAGAGGAGGGCAAGTATAAACGCAACCGGTTGGTTCGAGGTGGACGGGTCCGTAGCCTCCTACCCCTGGCCCTGAGGAGGGGTAAGGTCAAGGAAAAGGTGGACCGCGCAGTAGAAGGTGCCCGTCGGGCAGTGAGTGTAGCCCGCCAGCGCCAGGAGATTGCTGCTGCCAGGTAGGGCCTAAAGAAATGGGAAGCAATTGTAGAGAAGGGGGTGGGTCCAGGAAACAGATATGAGTTAAGCTGAGGCCCTGGGAAGGTATGGAACCTGAAACCAAGACAGAGGCACTTGGGGTAGGGGTGACGGTATGGAGGGGCAGGTAGAGAAAGAAAGAAGTGAGGTTAGGAGGGGGGAAAAGATGTAGTTGACAGAAAGGAGTGGTAGGAAAAATTATATAAGCTGAGTAGGGGGTCAATGTGTAATTTATGTGTGTATGGACGCCTGTATTTAAACATATCAGAGAACCCCAATTTAAATTCCAACTATATGAAACTCTCTGGGCCACAATTTCCTCATCTATAAAATGAGGAGGCTGAATTAGATGATCTCTAAGGCCTCCTCTAGTTTAAAAGCCTGTTATCCTATAATCCTGTGATTTTTGTTTGAGTTTGAGCCTTAGAGTAGGTGTGGGTGTGGGTATGTCAGTGTGTATGGGTGTATGTGTGTGTGGGAAGGTGTATCTCTGGGTGTTTGAGTATACGTGTAACTGTGTCTGTAAATATCTTTGTGTATATGTATATATACACACATATATACATATACATGTGTGTAATAGATGTGTGTATACAACACATACACACACACACAGAAAAGTATAGATCAGCATGGTAGCAGATTCAAAAATGTCATAGATTGTTGACATTTCCCAAGTTCTTTTTTCTCCTCTGAGACAAGAAGCAGCATGGGCCTAGAGAAGGCCCAGAGTTTGGTTAGTAACCTCCATTTCTAATCACATTCCAGTTTGACAAGTCTGACATCATTTCAGACCTGGGCCTTAAGACCAAAGCTGGAATACTCATCCGTGAGGTGTGGCCCAGCATTATTTCCTGCACCTGCCTTTTAGATGGGGTTGCTGAAAAATTGTGCGCAAACTGACTTCTTATAAATCAACTCATATTTTCAGCCTTCTAAAAGATCTTTCTATTTAAAAGAACATGTGGAGAATCATCAGAAAGTGAAAAATCCTTTTTGGATTGTAAGAATTTTTGAGAGCTATCATTCCTTAATTTTTCTGATTCAAATGTTCTGACTTTTGTATATCAGATTTTCTTTTTAAAAGGGCTTACCAAATGAGGTATGTGTATGTGTGTGTGTGTGTGTGTGTGTGTGTGTTGCATATATGGATAAGAATATTAGTATTGATGTAAAACTATGTGCACACATGTGTGTACATGTCTGAGTGTGAGGGTACATGTTTATATATGCCTGCCACTGTGCACCTGGGTTTGTACCAGGGTCTCTCTACTAACATAGAGTCAATATCTTGAGCATTGGCTCCTTCCCAATTGTAGAGAAGACCTCAGACTGGATAGGGGGATTGAATGGTACAGGAACAACTGTTCTGTGTATATGCCTAGCAAGGCAGTGGGAGGAGGCTGGCTGGTCTCCCCAGCAACAGGACTGGCAGCCCTGATTGGCTGTTGGAATCCATGGAAACAAGGGAACCTCAGCAGTAGAGCTTCTCCCAGGTAGCCCCAGAAGCCTGGGCCTGAACACACAGGCTGAGAGCCTGATTCCCAGGGCTCTACCATCTAACACACTACACATTCACCTAACCACCCCAAATCTCCGAAGTCCAACAAAGACTAGATCTCAATCAGAGCAACCAATAGCAATGCTGGGATAACAGAGTTTGGGGGGGGGAGGTGCACATGAAAGTGAGGAGGACTGGGGAATGTAGAGGAATGACATGATAACAGAAAGGGGCTGCAATAAAATAAGTGGCAGAGGTTTGCTGCATAATGGTGCATACCTAGGAAGAGAAGGGACAGCAAAGCTCACAGAGGACAAAAAAACAAAGAGGGGATGTAATAAAAAGAGATGGTGTGAGAGAGTGACGAAGAAAGGTAGATCTTAGCCTGCAAAAAGTATGTGATAATAGCAGAAACCTGGGAAAGCATGCTTTTTTGGAACTGAGGGAAGTGATACAAGAGAGACTGGTGGGGATAATAGAAAAGAAATTATGCTTAAAGAAATGAATGCGTAACAAACGTGTAATAGTGAAGATATGGTGAGAAGGAATGGCGAATTTGTGCAGTATGGACAATGGGGGGAGGGGTGGGGGAGGTGTTAAAAACTGCAGGGTAAGGACAAACTTGCTTCCAAAAGTCTTCATGATGTTCTGCAGAGGAAGGTTGTGTGATACTGAGGGGAGGATGCCAAGGGAAATGATAATCAAAAAAGGAGAGGTCGTTGTGGAAAGCACAGAGGGGGTGTGATAATAGAGAAGAGGTGTGATGACACCATTTGAGAAAGGGTGATAATAGCTATGGGGGGGGGCGGAGAGGTCGGGTGATGATAGCAGAAGAAATGGTTCCCTAGCACAGAGCAGTGATTTTAGAAAAGAATGTGATAATATATGGAGGGATTTCATAACGGGGGTGGGGTGGGGGGGAAGATAAAGAGGGAGGGACTATTAGATAGGGAGGAGTCTCCTTTGAGGAACAAGGATTAGTCCAAGAGGCTGGAGATGATAAAGTGTTACTAGAAAAAGGAATTGAGAGAGAAGTGTGATAATAACAAGAAAGTGTGTTAACAACTATATCAGAGGTCAGGTATAAGAAGATCAAAGAAGTTTTGCACTGCAAATGGAAAGCAGGGAATCTCTAGGATAGAGTGGTCAGAGACATACAAGAAAGAAGGGATCATAACAGAGGCTGAGGAGTTGTGATTGATTAAAGAGTGGACTAGGAATAGGAAGATGGTAGATGGATGTGCTATAAGCTGAGTATCGCCACCAAGGACTCACAGTGTGAAATTGGATCATGAGGTTGGAGGGGCTCAGTTGGGAGCAGGGCAGCAGTAGGTGGACCCACTAAGACCCTGTCCCTGGTCCCGGCAGGGCAGCAGATGCTCTCTTGAAAGCAGTGGCAGCAAGCAACACAGCAGAGAAAGCTGTGGAGGCTGCTCGGATGGCCAAACTAATGGCCCAGGACCTGCAACCCAGGTTGGATGCACCAGGTGAGAAGTGAAGGGCCCTGGGATGGTGGTGGTGGTGGTGGTGGTGGTGGTGGTACCCTGAAGCTCTAGCATGGCCTTGACAACTCGGGGACAAGGGGTTAGGTTTCAATGGAGGGACACTGCTAGGGAGAGGAGAGAGGAAAATGGAGAAGGGGAATAAGAATCCCTGGAAGGAAGTTAGGGGCGACTATTTAGAGAGTCCTAAATGAGGTCAGTCAATGGAGTGAGAATCAGGGTCAGAGGAAGGAGAGAGAAAGAGAGAGAGAGAGAGAGAGAGAGAGAGAGAGAGAGAGAGAGAGAGAGAGAGAGAGAGAGAGAGAGAGAGAGAGAGAGAAGATCATATGAAAAATAGAATAGGTTTGAGGGATAAGGTGAAATCAGAGGCGTTAGAGAATGAGGTTAAATGTATGTGAGGTAGGACCAAGGAATCTAGGGAGTGATGTCAAGGAAGTTTGGAGAATTCAAGAAAGGGGAAAGGAATAAGCATCTATATAGTGCCTGCGATGTCTCAGGCATTGTGCTAAGCATTTTACAAACATCTCATTTGAAAGATTACGGGTTATGCCCAGGAATCAAAGGCTCTAACTTCCCCAACCCCCAAGCATAGATCTGTGACCTCATTCTTCACCCACCTTTGCCCCAGGCCGAAGACCCAGGCAGGACTCCGAAGGCACTGATACAGAGCTGCCCGACTGCGACAGCCCTGGGGTTTATGAGAATGGACTGACCCCTTCTGAGGGCACTCCAGAACCTCCTAGCAGTCCTGCCTCCCCCTGCCAGCCCTGGAGACACCCTACCCACCGCAGTCCTTTGCCCTCTAGGGATGATGGAGGCCACCTCTCTGGCCCCAAATCTTGGCCAGAGGAGTGGGGGGGCCCAGGTGGACCTGGAGAGGAGCTAGCTGGCTATGAGGCTGAGGATGAGGCTGGGGTGCAGGGGCCAGGGGTTGGTGATGGTTCCCCCCTCCTTGGGGACTCCAGTGACAGCTCCGGAAGCCTTCGAGAAGAAGAGGGAGAGGATGAGGAGTCCTTGCCCCACTCAGAGCCTCTCCTAGACCCAGGGCTTGAGCCCACAGTCACCCCCATACTGAGGGGCACATCTGGAAAGGCTCTGGAAGCAGAGAACCTGACAGAGGCACTAGAGGAGCCTGGTGCCACCGAAGAACCTGCCCAACGGGTAAGTTACCTCTTTACCCCAGACCCTCAGCCTCTACTCGCCCCAACTCTTTCTAGTCTTCCCTTTGAGTCTCTTATCCCTTGTCTCTCTTCTCCAGCCTTTCTTCCCTTGACCTTGGTGGCCTAGAGTCAACCTTAGCTTCTCAATTTCTTACCATTTTTATCTTCCAATTTTTCAATATCTTCATTTGTAAACATTGTAACATTTGTAAAATTTGTAACATTGTAAAATGTTTGCTGCAGAAGGGTTTGAACTAGAAAGCATCTGGAAGGTCCTATCCAGAGCTTAGGTTCTGTTCTTTGAAAGTGGGGGGGGGGTGTCAAGAGAATTGCCCAAGGTGACACGACAAAGTTTTCAACAGAGTTTTCCAAACCCCTTATTCCTCCTTATGTATCTTCCCATCCCTCCTGACATCCCTTCCAATTTGTTGACCCAGAAACAATAAACTTCCCTCCCTGCCATGGTTCCTCCTCTTTCCCAGAAAGAAGCAGGAAAGAAGGAAGGGAAGGACTTTTCCCAGAACTCATAAATGGATGGACCCTGCTCATTTTTCATCTCCTAGAAACCACATCCTCTTTCCTTTCTGTACTTGACTGCAATAATAGTCATCACATGTACTACCGGCCACTATGGTCAGACCCTGCTTAGACCTGATGAGGATTTGGGGACAGTCAACAATCAGTAAACATTTATTAAGTACCTGCTATGTGCCAGGCACTGTGCTAAGCAGTGAAGATACAAATACAAAAAAAGAAAGACAGCCCTTGACCTCAAGGAGTTTACAATCTAATAGGAGGAGACAAAACACAAAAGGAAACTAAAGAGTTGGGGTACCCAACTCTGAGGCATGGTGGAATAGTCAGTCAGAGGAGCCCCAAAGTAGTGCAGCCAGGTGAGAAAGGAGAGCTCTTTAAATGGAGGTTTGGAGTTCATGGCCCCACACTCCAATCAGAGAGGTAGAGGGTAGTGATGAGGTGGAAACCAAGATCCTATAGGGTGGCGAGGTTACCTAACAAAAAGCTTCCTGGGGCATGGTAGAGAAGTCAAAAATGTCCCAAAGTAGTGCAGGCAGGTGAGAAATGAGGGGATAGGGTACCACTGGGCTGCACAGGCAGAGGGATGCTGGAGAAGAGGTCTGTGACCTAGCAAAGAGAGGAAGGCTATTGAGCAGAGCCCAGAGTTAAGGCTTCCCACACTTCTGGCCTTTCTTGGAACCAAAGGGGCTTTGGCAGCTTTAGCTTTGCCCATCTCAGACCAAGCCCCATCATGCTAAATTGACTCAGTCCCCAGTGGGATCAATAGGCGTTCAGACCTCTGAGGAAGGTGACACTCTTTCCCTTTTCCTTTTCCAGGGAGCTGCTAACCCGTTGGTGGTGGGAGCCGTGGCACTGCTGGACCTGAGCCTGGCATTCCTGTTCTCCCAGCTCCTCACCTGAGGTGTCTCCCTAGTCTATGGCTCTGGTTCCCAACTCCTCTTTCCTTTGGACCTGCCTTTTTCTCTCTCAATCATCTTCTACCTTCCTTTCTCTACCTTTCTCTTTTGTCCTTTCTTTTTCCATTCCCATTTATTATTTTCTGCTCCCTCTTCTTTCTCTTGCTTTCTCCCTCTTCTCCCTTATTCTGACTTTATGTCTCTTTTTTTCTCTTTCTCTAGATTGTTTACAAATGAAGGGCTCTTCTCTCTCAGAGTTATTCTCTGAGACATACAAATCTAAGTCAGACCATCACCACCCACACCCTCCTAGCTTTCCTAGGGATCAAAACTTCTGTAGGGAAGAGATGAGGTGGGCACTCAGGGTAACGGAGGCATGATGTTGAGGTATATGAGACGTCTCCCACTAGCAAGGTGGAGAGGGGACCTGGAGAAGGGGTGACTGACTGCAGGAGTGGGGCACTGGCAATGCTGCTATGAAGTCACCCCCTGTGTTTCTGCCTCTCCATCCCAGACTTCCTGCTTGGAGATTGTTTGCTTTTCTCCAGTCCCAGGAGGGGGTAACCAATACTTACATACTCCCAAAGGAAATTATGTTTTGGGGGACCAGCAGGACTAATGAATAGAGATGGAATGCACTGGGGGCATCACTTCTTACCCTGTGGCAAGTTATCAAATTTCTAGGCACTGAACTTGGTTCCTGCCTAACTTTGTCCTCCCCATAGGCAAAGATCCGAAGGGGAGAGCAGGGTGCTTCACATTCTTCCCCCACTCCCAGCCCCAGGGGTGGTGGGCAATTAGCTGAACAAAAACACCTGAAAATCCATCCCCTTCCTCCCAAACCTTCACATACTCCCTTTCTCTCCACCTCCCCCACCTCCATAATTTCACCACCACCACCACCACCACCATCTCTACATGGTCTGGACTTGTTTGAGGCCTTGATAATATTCTAGAGGGGCAGAGGGAGGCATTCCTACTGTATGGCGTTAGGGGAACCTCTGCTAGTGCTCCATTACCATTGGGGATGGGAGAAGAAGTAGGCTGGGATGGGAAGGACTTCTTGGAGACGGAAATGGATAGTAGATGGGGGGGGCTCAAAAGGCAGCAAAACTGAGTCATTCTCAGGAATCCCAATTAAGGTCTGAGGACGGGTTAAGTGTCGAAAAATAGGTATAGGAACTAGACTTGTGATTTCATTGGTTTAGGGAAATCCCAGATGAGGAAACTCCCTCTACCAATGCAGGTTGGTACCTTCTCTGAAACTTATGGTCTTGGTGAGTTGCCTAGAGCACCTAGCGCTTCAGTGACTTGCCCAGGGTCATACTTGCTGTCTATTACATCGTTTCCTCTCTGAGGATCAAAATGGGGATCTATCTCTTTGGGGTCAAAATCCCTTGAAAGGGAAAAGGAACTAGGAAAGAGGAACCCCTCATGCACATGGAGCAGGGTGAAAGGTAGAAGTCAAAAGTCCCTGAGAAAGAGGAGTTTGAAGTTGAGCAATCCCTGTTATTGGCCATTCCCCCAAATGAGAGGGAACCTTAGAAAGGGAGTTGATGTGAGGTTCCCAGGATCTGTCCTTCATTGTTGAAAGCCTCTCCCTTCCCCTGCATGAGGCAGAGAGGCAAGCTGCCCATTATCCCCCTTCCCCAAAGAATGTCCATGCCTGGGAATGCCCCCCACCCCCTCTTTTTTTTTTTCTGGCCAGGCTATTTTCTACCTGGCCCACTTCCTTCCCCTCTAAGACTTTACTTCAAATTTCTACTTCGTGGATTTGGGATTGAAGTCAAACATCTCGGCCCACACCAAGTCTTGCAGGAAAAAAATAAATTTAACAAAAAATATATTAATAAAAAAGTTTGAAAAAAGGGGGGGCAGTCATCTCCTTTGAGGTGTGAGGGATTCAGACCTTTTGACCCCAAGGCCGCCTTCCCCCTCCCTTGGTCAATTTTAGTGCCCTAAAAGTAAGATCTTATGGAGGGAAAATTGAGTTTGGGGGACTGAACCCACAGATCAGGGGAGGGTGGCTGGTGACCCCCCAGGCCTATAGTATGCGTTTGCTTCATCACAACCTTTGAGTTTTCCCTCTCTGTCCCATCTGCTCACTTCAGAACCAAGTGTATGGAATATAAGACTTGGAGGTGGGGGGCAAAAGAGCTGAAGGGAGCTGGTTCTACTGATAATATTTGTGCTTCTTTGTTTATATAAATTTGAATTTCTACAACTCAAGATTTGCAAAGCACTTTACAAATACTATCTCATTTGATCCTCACAACCACCTTTGGAGATGGGTGCTATTATCTCCATTTTACAGATGAAGAAACTGAGGCAGGCAACGATTGTGACTTGCCTAGGGTCACACAGCTAGTGCGGGGGGGGGGTTGTTTCATTTTTTGCTAGGTAATGGGGTTATGTGACTTGCCCAGGGTCACACAGCTAATAAGTGTCCAGTGTTTGGTCTGACGTCACATTTGAACTCAGGTCCTTCTGACTTCAGGGTCGGTGCTCCATTCACTGCCCCGCCTAGCCACCTAGCCGCCCCCTGGTTTTGTTTTTTGAGGTGGAATGTGGACCCAGGTCATCCAGACTCCAGGCCTAGTACTCAGAGCCCCCTAGCTACGGAAAGCTGAAGGCCAAGGACAGGTCAGGTGAGGATGAGGTGGGGCGGGAAAGGGGCAGGCCCAGGTAGGGAGCCGCCCCTGACCCGTCGGGACCAGGAAGCCCGCAGCGAAGCGGAGCGCAGCCGAGACTACGGCTAGGGTGAGGTGGCTGGGCGCTTGTGCGTGCGCGCACGCGCGCCGGCACTCTAGGCTGAGGAGCGGGAGACCACGAGCATCTTCGAGGAGGGAGGGACTGGGGGCTGCAAGAACAACAAAACACCAAGTGTGCAGGAAGCGAGGGGAGGTGGGAAGTGCGGAAGACCAGGTGCCTGCAATTGGGGCTGAGGGCCAGAAGGGCGGGGCAGGGCGAGGTGGGGAAATAGGGCGAGGCTCTGCACATGCGCAATTGGGCACTGGAAGAAGGGAGAGGCTCGCGAGGTGCGCAGGTCTAGGGTGAGAAGGGAAACGAGACCAAGGAGGGCGCATGCCTGGTGAGGAAAGCCTGCAAAGGGGGTGGAGCCATAGGCCCGCAGGTAGAGGGGGATAGGGAGGCTCCGGCCTTGGGGCTTGGGGCGGCGGGCGGGGCGTGGGCGGGGCTGAAGTGGGCCCTGCCCAAAGGCCGACCCGCCATTGCTAAGCGCCCCCGGGCCCGCAGCCCTGCCCCGCCCTGCCAGGATGGTGCTGCCCTCCCTGAAGCTGCAGGAGCTGATCCAGGAGATCCGTGGGGCCAAGACTCAGGCCCAGGAGCGGGAGGTCATCCAGAAGGAGTGCGCCCACATCCGGGCTGCCTTCCGCGAGGGCGATGCCCCCCAGCGCCACCGCCAGCTCGCCAAGCTCCTCTACGTCCACATGCTGGGCTATCCCGCCCACTTTGGACAGGTACGCGGCCGGACACCGCGCCACACGCAGGAGCCGTCCACAACTCCAGCCCTCCCAGGGACTCCCCGCTGTGTACACTCCCAGCTACACACACAGTCTCACACCCTAATCAGGAGCATAGCCATTGCAGTCAGGTGACCCCTCATCCTGACTTCCGCCGCTTAGATCCCAAGATTTCCCAGGGACTCCCGGCTACACACACAGAAGAGTGACCATTGTAGCCAGGTGGCCCCTCATCTGATGTAAATCAGTAAGACAGTAGGCTAAGATTCGCAGAACCAGTTTACCTTTCATATGAGTTACTAACCCAGCTCTATATACAATTCTACATCCTAACATATTTACAACTGAAACCATTGATTTAAAAACCATTAGTGTTCAACTGTGTCTGCTATATTAGTTGAAATGAAGGCAGCTTACTTTACCTTCAGAATCATATTTTCTGCTAATCTTTCAGCTACTTAGGGTTTTCAATAAGGCTATTTGTGGGAAGAAAAATAAATTTTAAAGGCCCCCCCCTCCAAAATCCCCAATAATTTGAAGTACTCAACTCCAGCTGCCTCCTGCTGCCCAGAACCCAAGACTTCCCAGGGACTCCTTTTTACTCATAGCTTCACCACAGGCAGGGTGGCACAGCCATGACAACCAGGATTAACCCCTCAGCACAAACCTTCCCAGGGACCCCCTCCTTCCCTGCCCCTATACACCCAGGCTCACACTCTCAGGAGGAACAGACCATTTCAGCTATGACCCATCCCTAGGACTGCCTATTTTTCTTCATTGAATCCACTAACATTAAGTGAACACTTGAAATGAGATCCCCACAATCTATCTCCTTGTAGATCTCAAGAACCTTCTCCTTTCACATATATAAACACATACCAGTAAAATGTCTCTCAGTCTTCTATGTACATCATACGTACGTGGTGTTTAACTGTCCCAGGCAAATGAAATTAGATGGTTTTTAAATGCCTCTTCCAGGCCTAGATCTACAAACTAAGAGTGAAACTTATACTGAAAGTAAGGGGGTCATTTCCATTTCCTGCTCCATTTGGGCACTATTCCACTTTCTCTATATTGAATAGTCGTCCCCATAGGGCTAATTTGGATGTCAGGGAGGGAAAGAGGGAGAGGTTTCAATTTCTCTGGGCCCTCTCTTTCTTCTGGTCCTCAGCCTCTCCTCTCTTCCTATAGATGGAGTGCCTGAAGCTGATCGCATCACCCCGATTCACAGACAAAAGGGTGGGCTACCTGGGGGCAATGCTGCTGCTGGATGAGAGGCAGGATGCCCATCTACTCATAACCAATAGCATTAAAAAGTGAGGAGTTTGGGTAAAACAAAATATATTGGGGAGTCTGGAGGATTGTTAAAACCTAGAGAGGGAGGTGGGCCCTAAAAGAGAGATGGGAGACATCTGACAAACCTGCTTCCTGCTGTGGGAGGGAAGAACTCAATTCCTAGGACATTCCCCAATCTTGGCAACCCCTGCAGTGACCTAAGCCAGGGGACTCAGCCAGTGCAGGGGTTGGCACTATGTACCCTAAGCACCACGGGCTCAGCAGAAATGTGTCGGGACCTGGCCAGTGAAGTGGAGAAGCTGCTGTTAAGGCCCAGTCCTTATGTCAGAAAGAAGGTAAGGAGGCATGGAAGGACCTC